GCTTATGGGATCACGGGCGTTGGGATCCAAAGCAACCCCGTCGGCACATCTCTCCCCTGTCCGTCTGAGTGCGGAGTGGGGCGCAGAGCACGCAAACGGTGTTGATGGGCAGCGTTGGTCAGCCGCGGAGGATGTAATGCTTAAGGCCCCCGGGTGGGGATAACGTTAGGCAACATTTCCCACTGGACCAAACGCTACCCGGTCGGTGTATTTCGGGGTCAGACCCCATAGCGTGGGATGAGACCAAAACACCCCCAACCGGATTCCAAGGCTCCTTCCCCAGACCCCGGTACCATGAATTTGGCAAACCGGGCAAAGGGGGATAGCCACGTTCCATGGGTGTCTTTGAGGACGACCCATCTAGCCCTGAGGGCAGAGTTGCTTGAGCGCATTATTATGCGTGCCCAGCACTCTGGTGACCTTGGAGGCAGAACGCACCAGCCTCCTAGACCAGGCGACATTTTTACTGGTGGGCCACCGCACATCTACGTGCGACACCCCCTAGTGTTGCCTGGCTCGCTTGGCCAGGGCCACTACTGTGCTACGAGACGCGGCCTTAGACGCATGTGTTTTCGCCGACAAGCTGAGCCGGGGTACGTCCCCACCTCAGTGACGCAGACTGGATACCCTCCACCCTCTTTGTTCAGGGAATGGTGGGTACAGTCTCGGAGCTTCGGAGTGCAATGAATCAGAGGGTTCAGATTGAATCCGCTAGCCAGTTGGTCCTGCCATGGGCAAGCGGAGGGCACCCCAAGCACAGAAAACACAACGCCCTAGGGCGTTGCCCGCTAGCCAGAGTCAGCCAGGAGGCAAGCGCTTATACCCTTCCATGGGAGGGAAGGGTAGTGGCGTGCCCCCAGGGAGGTAAGAGCCAGGTGGTGGCTCCGCACCCTCTCTGGGCGGACGTCTACCCAGGCAGCAGGGGAAGCATGTTTGACACTCACCTCTGCAACCGGGGGGACAGGCACGTTTTCGGTGAGTGGCCAGGTCACAACTTAGTGACTACTTCAGGCCTTGGGGAACTCACCTCATGGGGGAAGGGAGGACCCCCCTCGCAACTGACGAACACATGGCCACATATCCCTGTCGTATACAGATTGCGCCGGTGCATTCTGGTTTGGAGACAGCGGGTGACCGATCCCTGGACCTTTCCAGGTGGTGACATCCTGTTACGGAATACCGCTGAAATCTCCATTTTCCCCCATCAGTGTCTCCCCTGTTGGGCACTGCCATGGGACTCAATCAGACAGGAAGTAGCAGTTTGCTGGGGAAAGACGCCATACACAGGGTACATCAGCCGGAACTAAGTCCAAATGTGTTCGTAGTACCAAATCTACAAGTGGCAGGCGTCCAGTTTTGAACCTAGACAGACTGAATCAGTACGTGCCCCTCGATCGGTTCCACATGGAGACACCATTCAGGGTTCTTCTCTCCATCCACCGTTTTGACTGACGAGCCCCGCTAGACTTAAGCGGGGCCTACCTGCACTTACCGATGCACCTAGTGAGTTGCCATCTCCTTCGAATCGCCCAGCTGGGCCAAGTATTCGAATTTCGGTGCCCCCTTCCATTCGGGTTAGGCACAGCGCCCACCAGAGTGATGAAACAGGTAGTGCTGCTGTTTCACCAGATGTGGGTACATCTCAATCCGTACCCAGACTACTGGTTACCAACACCCCGGGCAAGGGGTAATAGCCAAACGCATCAGGCTAACACCGGATTTACTTTACCAGTTGGGCTCATTAGTAAATCGACAAGTCCCACCTCAAGCCAATGCGCAGTTGGTGTCCCTGGGTATGGAGTTTTGACACAGAGGTAAGCTTGGCTGAGCTATTTCAAGCGTATTGCTTAGCGCTAAGCAGCCTAGCCGAATGCCTATTCAGCGTTCCCTTGATGTCCCTCCGTGAACTAATGCGGATCATCGGAATGATGACCTCGGTTTGAAGGGTCGTTCCCCAGGCCGCACTACA